GTTTCTTGATTTTCACGAAGTTTTGATTTTTTTTTTTAACTCAAAGTTCTTTTAAGTACAAACATTCAATTACCTGTACATATAACTGATTATTGTACAAAGTAATCTATAATTTATACAAAAAACATTACTGACAGATAAAAAAGTAATGCATAAGTGCAAAAGTAATATTTTCTTTTAGACTTGGACTGTCAGAAGAAATATAAATACATCTGACTAGTACTAAAATATAAATAAAAAAACAATTTATGATAAGAAGGCGCTTAAAGTTTCAAGAATGGCACTATGATATTTAAAAAAAAACGCAACAACTTATCAAATAAAATAGTATAAGCAAAAATAAATCAAACAAAATGCTTTGATTTCATTACTCAGTGGATGCAAATGGGAACAATCAATGCAGTGAAAATATGGCAAATTAATAAAAGGTCCCTCTTCCACGCCTTCAGGTTATTGGGGATATAGGGCAGGACCTATATTTTTAAAGACCATTTGACACTTGGTGGGCGATGTGGTCAGTATCATGCCCGTCACCTTTACTTCCCAGGACTGCACCTGGTACCCACTCAAGGCTGGATCAACCTGGGAGTCGAGGTCATTTCTGAAAAAAGTCAGGCTCCGCCAGGACGCGAACCCACAACTTTCCGATTCGCAGGCGGGCGTCTAGCCACCAATGCCACGGTGACTATAACAAATTAATTACATATTAAAATTATGATAATAAACAGTTTTGCTATTAGTTCTAATGTCTGCAAGAAAAGAGGAATTAACCACAAGAGAATGGGCAATCTCGTAACAATTAGCATTTCATGAACACTTTATTACGGGTTTGTGATACTGAGTGTCCAGTTCTTTTATTCACCACCAGAGCCATATTTAGGCATGTGCAACTGCACAGGGCCTCACAAATGTAAGGGCAGCAAAAGACAGTTAACAGTAAAAATACTGATTGAATTGGACATTTCTATAAACATAAAGCAGTTATCATTCACAAAATTCTCCTGTATGATTTCTGACATGCACTATTTTACTGTAGCTAAAAAATAAAAATTTGGGCTTAATTATTACAAAAGAATTTTACGAATTTAACAAATTAGGAAGACAAATAATAATGAAATTAAAAAAGACCAAGCATCATAAACAGCATCACGTCTTCAAAATCACGTGCAGTGCAGACCTTATAAGAAAAACTCACAGGAGACCAAAGAAATGGTTCTTCTTATCTGAAATTCCTCTGATCCAGATAAGAGTTCGTACAAGAAAAATTGCTAGGGATAAAAAACAAATGTTCTCAACACAGAAGTTTGCCACGCCTGAGATCACCTTAAGCTGTCTGCACTGTACTCTGTTCATATTTAACATTGTGGTGGCTAAGAAAGAACTGTAACTGAAAGCATGGTCCCTGAAAGAGAGGCATGGGCAATCAGCATGGGGGTGAATAGAAGATCTGAAGACACTAGGGGGGAAAAAAGGTAGGTAAAGCCAGCTAAATCAACAATAATAATTAATGTAGACACAGCCAGCTAATAGAAATAAAGTAGGTTTTTCTTTTCAATACAACTGATCAGCTAAGAAAATGGTCTCTTTAAAACTGTCACAAACCATTCAGGAAACTTCAAAAGAACAATAATTGTAATAAACTAATTTATTGTTTTATAACATTTTTGTCAGCTTTTGTGACCCAGCTATTTATTCTTGTATAGAATGATAAGTAGAAAATACAATAAAAGCTTGATACTGTGTTTATACAAACATTTTATTATTTTATCACACTGTAAAAAGGGGAATGTATTCTTAATGTGTACCCCTTTAAAATAAAAAGGTTTCCAAACAGAGAAGCTAGTGGGTTGTGCAATTTAACAGTACAAAATTGCTTTCACTCTCGAAATATTATATTCTCAGTGTTGATTCTAGGGCCCTATACTGAGGAAAAAAGTATAGATCTACTGACTTCTAACAAGCATGCCACAAAGGTGACGAGTGTTTAGCTGAAATTACATGTTTTGGGCTGAAAGATGCAGATAATGCAAGCTAGCTGCAAACCACAACGCAACATGCAAACTGTTCTTTGAAGTCGAACAAATAAGAAGAAATCAAATATGTAATCTGCCTTCTTGCTTCACTTTCAGACATCAGAAGAATCAAGCTGTCACTCATGTGGACTGGGCCTTCCAAGCTGTAGATAACTGGAACCATCTAGGAACTCACACTAGTGTACACTTCTATGGTAAATGAGAATATCCCTGACCTTCAAGTATGTAAAGAAAAGGACCCTTTCCACACCTTTGTCATATCAGACATACAGGGCTAGACCTATATTTTTCATAGACCATTTGGCAGCTCCCTAGCCCTTTCACTGCTACGTTCCCGGAAATAGTTGTCCTCCCTGTGCTAAGCAATGTGAAAAAAAAAGTCTCTGCTGTGCGCAATACTTTTCTATCCTCCAAACGCAAGAGATGCGTCGGCGGTGAGGGCTATATTTTGTACACCCAAAAAAAGTTACCCTGGGGAGTTATGTGGTTGGTCCGAGTGGTGACAACTTGACTAACGGAGCTATCATCCTTCTGGGGGGGGGGGGGGGGGGATTATTATTGGGAAGAACTGTTCCCTGTCCGTATCCCAAAATTTGATTGACGAACCTACCACGGCTGCCACTTTAATCATAGTTATTTGTAGTCACCATGTTATTAAATACCAAAATAATAAAAAAAAATTTAATAATAATACTTGAGTCGTCCGTTGATAAAAAGTAGCAGGAACTGAAAGGAAAATTTACAATAATAAAAAAAAAAATAAAAACACGACTTCGGGGGTTGAACACACGACCCTCTGATTCTAAGGCGAACGTGATACCAACTACACTATACTACCGCTTGACGTATTTTGCTGTGTGAATGATAATAATGATTGATGTACGCAGACTATCAATAACGTGCCTAAGCTTGTAGTCTATCGCCGCCTGCATGAGCACTGTTGTCTGAGAAATGTTTGAGATTCTCAACAATAGTAAAAATATGTCTGTCGACATTATTTCACGGGAGTTTTTAGCAAACAGTCTTTGCTCAAGTACTCTATTTTGAGTTTCTTTGTTCTAAGCATTAGCAGACAGACAGCAAAAAAAAAAAAAAAGTTCGTCCGAATCTGTGTCTGTCCATCGGGAAAGACGAGAATTTTTAGTGACTGAACTGTTTGAATTTTCAGTAGCAGAAATACAGTTAGAGCTGGAGTCATCAAAATTATGCACTACTGGTTTCAAATCAACGGTTCATAAAGACAACTGATCAATTTATTGCCGTTTTGATGGTGCTTCATTGTCGCTGCTCTCTGATTCCGACAATGAGGACGTCGGACAGGCAAACAGCTTTTTTTGGACACGACGGTTTCAGCAGTCGATATTGATGGCCTAGTCAAATCTTTTTGTTCACTGTCAGAAGTAAACATTTCAAAGTCATCTTCGCTATCACTTCTTGACAGAAACTCCATAAATTCTTCATCAACTTTAACAAGTTTTCTTGCCATTTTGTACTAAGTGTAGAATAATACAAAAGCACAAATATATATCAGGGCACAAAATACACAGATCACCGACCACGCTGTCACGGTAAACAAAGCAACGGGATAACGCAGAATGCAGTAAACACACCTTAAACACACCTAAAAGTACGTGCCAGTGCTTTTAATCATATGTAAATGGGTCAGTTTAATCTAAATATAGCTAATGTATATTGCCCTTCAGCCAATAAAATACGAGGTAACAGAAATCTGTAGGAAAAGTCCAAAAACGGCTTAGGACGTCCATAGCACTGGGGGTCAAGAAAAAAAATAACGTCCAAAGACGGGCGTAGCAGCGTACGGGAAATCGGGAAAAGACGTCCATAGCAGCGAAAGGGCTAGAACAGTGGTTCCATACTTGTGGTCCATGATATCCTTTTTTTTTTAAACAACAACAAAGAGAACTACACTCAATCCTCTTTTTTTCTTCGATTCTAATACAAATTTACTCTTTTTGATTCATATGACTATGAAAACGTATGAGGTCCAAGGCAAACCTTCCAAATAAGAGGAGTCCTCAGGTCTTTGCTACCAGCAAACCACTGCCCTAGAACCTTCAGGACTTTGACAAGCTTAAACAAGCTAAAGCTGGTCTATGGATGAGTCAGTCAAGATAAATGCATCAAATATGAACTGCTTCTCAATACATTACACAATGATTGGTACACATGGCTGCTGTCTGTCCGCTCCAGACTGGTATCTAAAGGTATGAAAACCCTGTGACTAGATGATCCATCTGGATGTCAACCCCATTTGACAAACCAGATACCAAATTCAACTTCATAAGTTATAATTAGGACAAATTTAGCAGCTTCACCAAGCAATACCTTAGTACCCTGTTTTTTTGTTTTTTTTTCAACGGATCAGCATCATAACACATGGGTGTAACCCATAAGTGCTCCGTTCTACTTTTAACTCAAGTCTGAGTCTGAAGAATCTCAGTGCAGTGCACAAACTCTGTTGCACCGGAGAGGATCCTGAAATACTTTAGGTAGATTTTTTTTTAAACTCAAAATTTTGACCGGGCAGCGTTGTTAGGCTACTCTTTTCGATTTCCAATTGCCAAGGGATTTTTTATGTGCACTACAATACACCCGGGTGTCCGATCTTACTACCCAGAGATCAGGGAAAAATACTAGAAGTCTGTGTGAAAAAATCCCAGCTTTCACCAGGGCTTGAACCCGGGACCTCCAGCACTCGAGGCAGACACCATACCTCGAGACCCCTCAGCCCCAGAGGTCAGACCCTGTTGTCCAATATGAGCGGTAAAAAGTGTCATGGTACATCCAGAACAGCTATTCACTTGCACTGCACTGCTTGAGACCACAACTTCATATTCAACATACTGTCAGTTTTTCTCCAGGATGTTCACCACAGAATTAAGCCCAACCTGGCGCTACAGCAGCAGCAATCAGTCTATATCAAACCTGGCGTTACAGCAGCAGCAGTCAGTCTATATCAAAGTCTGACTCTTCACTGCTCAACACACTGTCCTGAAACAAAAACACATTTGACACATTATATCCCCTGCTCTACACTATACAGGGAAAAAGCGGGTGTGTCACATTATGAGATATGGGATATGAACTGGGTCATCTTCACAGCACTCCGAATTCGTCAATAGATGCTAAGATTCCCTCTTCAACATATACATCAGCATTTTGTGGATAAAAATGCCAGTCCTATACTGTATCACATCATCCCTTCTGGTTTTTTTTTTTTAAAACTTCTGATGATGCTTCTATTCCCAGATGGAGCAAAGACCCTCAATAAATTCAAATCAGAAAAACCAGATTTCTTTAGCATGCTCTGACCAAAGGCTTAAAAAAAAACCACTGTGAGATAGCTGGGATTCAAAGATATAGAAAACATAATGTATCAAACACTGCCTAGGATTACAAGAGTATAGTTTTTTATTGTTGAGAGATTAATCTCAGAAACTGTGCCTGAAAATCTTAATGGAATGGGGAAGCAGAACAACGTACACAAAACAAATTAAAGTTTCGGCCAAGGCCTTTCCTCACATGAACTGAACTGCTGTTCTTATCTTCAGTTAATTTCCCGTCTTCAGTTCACTTCCTGTCTTCAGTTCAGTTTAGTTTATGTTGAGAAAGGCCCTGGCTGAAATTTCGATTTGTTCTATTTTGTTTTATGCATATTGTTCTGCTTCCCCATTCTGTTAAGCTTTTCAGTCACAGTTCCCTGGATTAATCTCTTGGTATTAGCTTGACTGCTGTTCCCCCCCCCCCCCCCCCCCCATTTTCACAACTTTTTGAGTTTTCATTCTTGAATTCAAACCATATGTTCACAGTGTGATCATGATTCTATGTTACTCCATAGTTTGAACTCGTGAAAGACTCAATAGTCTACAATCCATCAGTAACTCCTCTTCTTTTCAGCGTTCACCAGCTGTAAACTCTGGCAGAAAGTTCCAGTTGTTCTGAAACTTCTGGACTTTGGTATGGTTCCAGAACTTTAATTTTGTGTGCACGTTCACTTTACAGATCTGGTTTATTTGTATGCAGCCTGCTGGTTCTTCACCTCTTAGAGGCACTTTTACTTCAATGAAAACTTCCCTAATTAGCCACCTTGGGCAACATGCAGCAATATCTGCCATAGGAATACTTTATCCTCCTCCTCCTCCGTCTTTAGAACCCTAGCCTGGACTCTTCCATCCTCTCATCATACAATATTTAAAAGCTGATGTTGCTTACATTACATGTTGCCTAGTATAACCTTACATTACATGTTGCCTAGTTTAACCTTACATTACATGTTGCCTAGTTTAACCTTACATTACATGTTGCCTAGTTTAACCTTACCTTTCTAAGTGTATGTTTCTCTGTCTTCCTCTATTTCTCTTGCCTAGTATTGTTTTCACAAGACTAATTTTAATATTCCACTTTTTCTGTTGTTATGCCCCAAAAATCTCTTGGGTCCTTTCCTCATTTGACAAACAAATTTTTTTTTTAAAACACTGGCAACTCTGAGTAACTCAGTGGTTTCTGAATAACTCAGTGGTCTTTCTCTCTCCCTTTCTGATATCATCTACATTCTTCAAAGGAAACAATATACATGCTGCTTTGAAATGTTTCACTATTTCTGTATCCATTTCTAGCTTTGACATCCAAACAAAGAACTGATCACTCAACTTGTAGGTATAAGGATTCAGACTTCAGGATTGTAATTCAGATTACCCCTGTGGATTCCAGGGCCCATTTTGGGAGAAAACAATACACCCATTGCTCCCTTCCCAAGCCTGTTGTAAAAGAGGGCTAATCAGGGTGTTTCTTTCATCTACCTCACAGGTGAGGATTCAACAGTACCCACACAAATCAGGGTGTTTCTTTCATCTACCTCACAGGTGAGGATTCAACAGTACCCACACAAATCAGGGTGTTTCTTTCATCTACCTCACAGGTGAGGATTCAACAGTACCCACACAAATCAGGGTGTTTCTTTCATCTACTTTACAGGTGAGGATTCAACAGTACCCACACAAATCAGGGTGTTTCTTTCATCTACCTCACAGGTGAGGATTCAACAGTACCCACATAAATCAGGGTGTTTCTTTCATCTACCTCACAGGTGAGGATTCAACAGTCCCCACACAAATCAGGGTGTTTCTTTCATCTACCTCACAGGTGAGGATTCAACAGTCCCCGCACAAATCACCATGTTTCTTTCATCTACCTCACAGGTGAGGATTCAACAGTACCCACACAAATCATGGTGTTTCTTTCATCTACCTTACAGGTGAGGATTCAACAGTCCCCACACAAATAAGCCAGATCTGTTTCAGGTTTGAATGTGCACACCAAACTAAAGTTCTGTAATAAGAACAAAGTCCAGAAGCTGAGGAACAAGTTTACAACCAGCTAACATGAAGAAGAAATGACCACTAATGCCATAATACCAAACTATTCAACATTTTCTCTCTTAGTCTCCCTCTGCCCCAAAATAAATAGGCTAACGACATGATGAAATTTCAAGCGAGAAAACCTGCCAACAAAAATATATTTTTAGCATGCATGATCCTTGCATGCACATGTTTGAATCCTTGTTATGGTATTCATGCATTGCAGCAATTCTTCTTGTGTGACCTGTGGCTGTGAACTGGGGCATTCAATCATTTTCTTCTTCTTAAAGTCCATGCCGTGCGGCACTGGTAGTCATGTCTATCCACAACTTTGTGTCTCTTGTACTTTCAATCAACTCTGACACAGATGATTTTCCATGCCATGTTGTCAAACTGTCCAGCATCTGTTCTCTCGATCTCCCTCTGTTTGATATAGACTCCCCTCCAACTTTCTTACCGTGACGATGTACTCCAGTTTTCTCCTTCTCATCACATGACCAAAGAATGTAGATTGTCTCTTTCTGATGTGGGCAATCAGTTTTCTTCGTGAGTCAGTTTCTTTCAAGACATCTTCATTACTCGTTTTATCTGTCCAGGGTATTCTCATCATTTGTCTATAAAACCACCACCACATCTATGCAGCTTCCAAATAAGTTGTCACTAGTTTACTGTCCATGATTCACACCTGTTTAACAATATAGGATTTATATAGCTTTTAAGAAATCTCTTTCTCGTCGCAATTGACAAAGAGAGATTGCATAATTTTTTTAACATTATATATTATTTTTATATGATATGATATTATATTATATTTTATTATTTGGGAGTGGCTGGCCGAACGGTTAGAATGCTGGACTCTCAAGCAGGAGACCCAGGTTCGAATCTTCAGTAAGGCTGGGAATTTTCTCTGTCAGGGTAAAAATAAATCCTCACCTGCACAGTCGTGGCGACGGCACTAGCCATGCGGCCGTACATCCTCAGGCTCAAAGACCTGCCTGCCTACACCACAAGTGGTATAATAAAGGCAGTAATTGGCAGTTTATATTATATTATTAACCCTTTTAGTACCAGACAATACACCATATGTTAATTGGTTACTTTGTACATGGTATACATTTAACTCCTTTTTGTCATTCTTCTGTTACATTGGTTTATTCTGTCCCAGTGTTACTGTAACTTGGCCTGTATTAGTCTAACCTATTCAATGCCAGTGATGGTTACCTGTATGTCTAACTTTGGGATTAGTAGTGACAAAGTAACAGATACCTGTAACTGAAAGAGCTAAAGATGTCTTAGGGTGCAATGAAAATGATACTCTACAAATCCAAACCTTTCGACTGCATTTGTATCAATTTATTTAAATGACTCAGCTTATGTACAGCGACAGTTAAGGCATATGAAGATAATGGCAGATACCACAGAGACAAAAACTGTGAACATAAAAGAGTTCAATGGAAGTGATCTGGTAATCTGGTAATCCTAGTTTCAGCTTCATAGCAAACGGGTCACCCCATAGTTGCTCCGCTCCTGTGCCAACTAAAAACACACAGAATGTTTATCACAGTCCCTTGTGGAAAGATTGACAGACTGCTGTCTCAGCATATGCACTAGCATACACACGCATTAAAAGCATTCGGTAGCCATCCCAAGTGTGAACACAAACAGTCCGACATTAGAAATGCAGTTCATCATGGATGGTAGCAGAAGTCACCAACAGATCAGCAGTTGCACACGCAATCACTTTTAATCAATGGCACTACAAATACTGTGTCAACAGGCATCGCACCATTTTCTGAATCTACAATTCACACCACCACATTGGTCCCAGTAGAAAAGCATTCCAAATGAAATTAGCAGCTCACAGTGTCACACCATGCACTCAACTCAGAAGCTGGGTGACGAAACTATCCTTTCAGTCTACAAATGGGGCAAAAATGTACCGGCCACCATCTGGCAGAAGCAAAACATTTTGCCACGGTTCACAACAGTAACCATTCCTAGCGTCTATTTTGACCAGAAGTAGATCCATGAGGTAGATAAAGAAGATTGTGTAGAGATAATATACAGACAGATCTACAAATATTTAAAGTCACTGGCAAGAAAGAAAGGACCAAACACAGTGATATTAGGAGGTGGATGATTACTGAAATTCACAGCAATGAACTCCAAGGACTCAGAAAAGTGAAGAAGAAGAACTCATGTTTTAAATATATGCCAGATTTCTACAGAAATATATTCAAAACACTTAAAAAGACTTACAAATCCTCCTTGGTTGATGATCCAGGAAGCAAATGTGTCAGTGATGTATTGGAGAGTGAACTCCTTGACTCGTGTTGCAGTTCTGGAACCCTGTCCGACGGCAGACACTACTCCTTTAGTTGTGTAGAACAAAAATGCTACATGATCCCAACTCAGCTCACTGCCCATGGAATTTTTGACAGTGCTGCGAAAGCGTTGGTATGTTTCCTGGACAGTTTGTTGAGTAACTTCTTCAAACGATTCATCAAACTGAAATAATATGGTAAGATAACATGCAGGTATCAAAACAAAAATTTTTTTTATCTCACAAATCAATATTAATGACGCAGTGCATTTCTTTAAGTCTTTCGACTTCAAAATGCTTGGCAGCAAATTTCATAGGGATGAACCAACAACTGTAAAACACTACAAATGCAGCACACTTCAAATAAACAGCTATGGGGTATACGGACTTTAATGCTAATTTATGTTTTTCATAAATCTTTGTTCTTAGCGCCCTTGATCAATGCTATTAGAGATATTCCTGCATGTCATCATCGTAAAGCATCCTTTATCCTTTCTCTTGTCTTCCTTTATCTATTCTAACACTTTAATATCTACCAGGGGTAAATGGGTGGATCTGCAAAGTTAGCCCATGGAATTCAGTGTATCTCCCGGAGGTAAATGGGTGGATCCGCAAAGTTAACCCACAGAATTCAATGCAGCGCGAGGACTTGGGCTGTATAGCTCTGGATCTCTGAGACACTTCTGTGGTGTCAATCAGGTCTTCGCCAGGTGCACTTTCCGTGGATATAATGTTCTACTCTGTCCATCCTCTAAACCAAAAAAAGAAAAAATAACCATAAACTGATCACAGAGAACATAATTTTCAATATCTCAGAGCAGACGTGAAAAGACAGTACCTGTTTGGAATACCGATCTCCCTCAGCTCTCAGACAAGTGATTATCTCATTTTCCAGATCTGTCAGAGTTGCTAAAATATTCAAATATTTAAATTACACAATTATATAGTTAGACATGAAAAAACGATAACAATATAATTTGAATCTAGATAGACATGAAAAAATGATAACAATATAATTAGAATCTAGATAGACATGAAAAATGATAACAATATAATTAGAATCTAGATAGACATGAAAAATGATAACAATATAATTAGAATCTATATAGACATGAAAAAGCGATAACAATATAATTAGAATCTAGATAGACATGAAAAAAATTATAACAATATAATTAGAATCTCCCTGCAGTGGAACCCACAAGGTCAAAGGAATATGGGCAGACTGACACAAGAATCGAACCCACAAACACACACATACAAGGAAAAGAATTACACACAGAGAATGAGATGAAAAAGATGGGGTGAGTTTCACACGTGATGGTGAAGGACAGGATCTGGCACAAGTTAGCTGAGGGCCAAAACTTCATTGGGGGATAATAGGCAGAAGAATTAAACTAATATATGGACAAGTGCAATTAATTAATCTGAATCTCGAAACAGAGGATACTTAAAATAGTTACAGTAAGTGCTAGCTGAAGCTACAAGGAAGTCAACATCTTCTTCTCAACCCTTTAGAGATAGAGCCTTATTTGAAGTTTCAGCGCCAAGAAGACGGAGGAGCCTACAGGAGGGGATTCTTTTAGTTTACACACACAGAATTATAGCTATCGAATTTGCATATTTGAGCATGCATTTTTTAAAAATTACTTAGGACAAACAAGACAAACTGAACGATATGGCTACATTTTTTGACAAATAAAACCTTAATACATTTTAACACTTGTCTTTTGGAAAGCAGGGCCATATAGGCCCTCCAGACACCTCTGGCAAATGGTTCTACTCCTTTTCCTACCTTCTACTTTAATTTTTTTTGTATGATGCAACAGTAATTTTTACCATTTTTGGGTACATGTAACGCCACACAAAAATATATATGTAAAATTACCGAACATAAAATACTTTCATGAAAGCTATCATTGAACATCCCACATGTGAAAGAAATGCCATCTGATTGGCTGGTATGAAAACCTGCCCGACAATCTCCGGGCAGAGGATCAGCCCATTGGTCTTTTTGGCCATTTTGTTGTTTGGCCGACAGATCGGCTGAGTCATCTTCAAAGGGTTAACGTTCACAGCTGTAAAACTCCAACAGAAAGTCCTGGTTGTCCTCTCAGGCAGATGCACTCTGACCTTGAAGGAAACATTAATCCTATCTTTGTTACAAGGCTCCCGGATAGGAACCTGTTTCTAGAATGACTGCGGAGAGGTGTAGATAGGTCTTGATTGGTATGAGCCTGGCTGGTCATGATCGGGATGAGCCTGGTCATGATTGGTATGAGCTGGTCATGATCGGTATGAGCCTGGCCATGATCGGTATGAGCCTGGCCATGATCGGTATGAGTTGGTCATGATCGGTATGAGCTGGTCATGATCGGTATGAGCTGGTCATGATCGGTATGAGCTGGTCATGATCGGTATGAGCTGGTCATGATCGGTATGAGCTGGTCATGATCGGTATGAGCTGGTCATGATCGGTATGAGCCTGGTCATGATTGGTATGAGCCTGGTCATGATCGGTAAGAGCTGGTCATGATCGGTATGAGCCTGGCTGGTCATGATCGGTATGAGCCTGGTCATGACTGGTATGAGCCTGGTCATGATCGGTATGAGCCTGGTCATGATTGGTATGAGCCTGGTCATGATTGGTATGAGCTTGGTCATGATCGGTATAAGCCTGGTCATGATTGGTATGAGCCTGGTCATGATTGGTATGAGCCTGGTCATGATCGGTATGAGCCTGGTCATGATTGGTATGAGCCTGGTCATGATTGGTATGAGCCTGGTCATGATTGGTATGAGCCTGGTCATGATCGGTATGAGCCTGGTCCTGCTGTAGCACTGTGATTCAGCGCCTCTACAAATGAAGAAGGATATATAATTTATGTGGCCTATGATTTCTGTTCTTCTTATTTTGTGCTATTGCTTATGCCATGAAGCAGAGAGGAGTTAGATGTAGTTTCCTGTCCTTTGCTAGTTGTGTAACTTGTGTTAATATCATTTCATGTTTCTGTGGTGTCTTTTATTCCATCTACCATTTCTTAGTCCCCATTTTTGCCTTGTTGCCTACTGTTCTCATGGAGTAAGCTCTACCTAGCTGTTGGCTGATTGTGTTCGATTCTGACCAGATGACAAAATTATTTGATTTCTTTTATGTTCCATGAAATCATTTACCGGCACCGCACCTACCATTTTTCTTAGTTCTTCGTTGGTGACTATGTCTCTTCTTGTTTTCCCGCCGCACTTCTTATACATCTAATTTTACATGTAATTTTATGTTTTTCTAGGACTGATTTCTGTTCACCTGGCCCAATGCCCATATAAGGTATGCACATGTCTGTGCTTGCTGTGTCACTGAAATCCTAATGCACCTTTTCGTTTCATTTTAAATAAACATACAACTGGTCCTGAAACCAAAGATAGCAGACAACTGAGAAAGGAAACATCAAAACATAATTATAAGGCTTGTAAAACAACAGATTTCACTAAACATGTAACTATCTATTCAGACTTTAAACACAACAGATATCACTAAACATGTAACAATATATTCAGACTTGTACCACATCTCACTCAGGCGTGTTGACTACAAATAAAATTATGAAACCATAAAACATCGTCTCTCTGAGTGTCCAGTGATACTTTCACCAAAGCCAATGAAAAAACATACTTTACCTTAGCAAGATTCACAAATGCGGTAAGCCTAGTTAACAGTTTCTGTCATCAAACGAGGCTAAGCACACAAATAAAGTTGTAAACCACAACACAACGTACCAATCGCCCCTTTAGGGGGAAAAAGAAAAAAAAATTAGCCCCCCAGCGTGTCGGCTAAAAGGCAACAAATATTACAGCCATGAACATTTGTAAACAGGCTAGCTGTAAACCCAAAATCGAACGGACAACATTGTCACTTCTTAGTTAGGGCCCCCCCCCAAAAAAAAATTATATCACCCAGCGAGGAATCGAACCCCTATCACCCGAGTAAAAAGCAAAATGGGCTTAGAAGCAGAAGAATTTCAGTGAGATGAAAGGAACACTTTTAGTCAAACTTTTTCAGACAGAAAAAAGGAAACATTTTATATAAAAGCTGATGAACACCTGCATGTATCCTAACACTGATGTAGATTGTATCACTACAATGTGCCGTACCGGATAATCAACAATTACTAAGAAAAAGATAATGACAGATTTTAATTAAATAAGAACAAAACTACCAAGAATCAAAAGGTAACCTTTCCAACTTATTTTCTCTATACTAGGAAAATATACACACATCAAGCAGCCAAGTCAATGGTCTAGGATCTATCCTAGTAGAGGCAGGACCATGGTGTCCTACTTGGAAAGCTCTGAGATCAATCTAGCCTCAAACAAGTTAGTACCAGACAACTCTCATCATTTTCTGGGAACGTGTATGAGATGGAAAAATGGCATGATGGTAACTGTATCAACAGCAACACTGAAATGGTCCGAAAATAATGTCATTTCTGAATGACTATGAGCTCACTATGTTATGACCCAGAGCATGTGAAGGCACAAAACTTCACAGTCTGTCAGTTGTACTGCCATGGGCCTAAATCTTTTTTAAAACTGGTAGCCCCGTAACTAGTACATCTGCCTGGTCATCAAGTAAATCTTATCACTATATGGGTTTTTAAATAATGATCTGGGCTATAAGGTCAAACAAGCTTAAAATGGTCAGAATGTTCTGAGCAGCAAAGGCAAATAACATCATTTAGACCACATTCCTTATCTTGTGTAGCTTTGTCAACAAAAATGTCAGACTAACACCATCCATGCAATACACATCAAAGCAAGGACAATAATTTTTCTTACTTCTTTTAGAGAAGAGTCACCATCATGATTTTGGAAAAGCAGGTACTCACCTGGCTGTACCGCAGCAGCAGCCCCTGCTTCCTGGTCAGATGCAGAAGTGGAGTAAAAATCTCCCATCTCAATCAACTTCTGAGCAATCCTGCCATACAAGGCTTCTCTATCAGTGACTGATTGTGCCGGTTGTCCCCCTTGATGTTGAAGAAAATTTCAAAACTGATACATTTAGATTTTCTGGCAAACTTTGCACATTTAATACTGGTAAATAGTTACCGGCAATGACAGACTAATCCATATGTGGAAAAGATCAAAACATTGATTATCATAATCTGATAATAAACACAAATATATGACAATATACAAAGCAGATAGAAGGGCCCGTTCTAGAGATCTCTTTCTTTCCTGACGCCGTGAGGCATTCCAGGAGTAGAGAAAAGAAGAAGAAGAAAAAGAAAATAAACTATACCATTAGGAATGCACAATTTTACAACTGCATTTTACATCACAAATGTGTTAATTACGTGATATAATCCAGAGAAGATGTGGCTGACTAGTAATGGTAATGGTGTCAGCCTGAAGTTAAGAAGTTACTGTTTGTTTATCCCAGCAAAGGACTAAGAATGTTCACAACAACTAGTTGTTTTAATAATATGTGCACTCCTTATCTCTTGGACAGAGATGTAAGTAGCCTACCATGATCAATACGGCTAAACAAAAATAGAGGGTATTTTAGGGAAATGTGCCAATTAAAAATTTTATGGCAGCTGGAAATCAGAGAAAATTGGTCTTAAGGTCTTTGCTCTGGCAAAATAATTAGGAAATAAAATATGTGACTGAAAGACTTAACAAAGGGAAACTACTTACCTAAAGATGATTCTTGTAAACTATCTGAGACTGTGTGTACAGAAGGAACACCTCTTGTTGCCGTCCCATCATTATGATCTCCTTGTGAAACAACAATGAACTCAGCAGCTTGTGGGTCTCCAAAATTAACACCACCAGGTGGCCGGTGTGGTTGTCTCAGGAATTCAGCATCCTGAAAAATTGTCACTAGTTATTTGTGCTGGTCCGACAAGGCTTTCACCGCCTGAACTGCTATTCCTAACTGTGATCACAGGGTTGTCAATGTCCATGAACTGAATATCCTCCCCTGGGCTATCTAGCACATTGCTATGTGCTCTGAATAAAACTCTGACAGCTGGTCCACCATTGCTTTCTGGTTGTAGGAGACCACCAGATAAATGTCCCAGTTCTGTTGATGCTACATTCAATCTCTGTGATGATGGACTTGGAGATCTAGAATTGAATGCCTAGCATTCCTGTCTTCTGATATAAAGATTGGCACAGATGAGGGACAGAGATGTGATGCTTCACCTGTCTTGTCTTTGGAATGTTCCCGATGATATGTTATTGACTGTGCTGCTGGAGGAAGGCCGCTAGAATTTAATTCTGGTTTTAATGCAGAAGGAGGCTCCTCAATAATTCTGCCTCTTCTACTAGCATATGGTAATGTCTGCAATGACTGTTCCAGGTTAAGGTCATTAGTTGTGCCTGACGTCTGAGCAGCAGGGAGCTGTCCTTCCCCAGATAAATGCTTTTGAACACTTGCATCACCATCTTTTCTTGAGCCAGAGGCGCAGGATTGTTTAACATTGGTCCTACCTGCTTGAATAAAATTTACAACTGGCTATAGAAACTTGCGTCAAACTTCAGTCAATTGTTAGTATTAATACACACAAACCTGAGAACATATCCTATAAATGGGGTAAAACAGCTTACTACAAAACAAAATTAAACATGTGTGTGTGTGTGTGGGGGCGAGGGGGGGGGGGAGCGCGTTAGGAGGCTCACTTTCAAATCCAGCTGCAGCCCATGGCCGGTGTTCGAAACCGGGCCGGTGTTCGAAACTGGGCGGTTCCCTGGGGTTCACCCAGCCTCTAAGATATGGGTACCAGAGTTAACACTCTGGGGTAAATGGAGGAATGTCGCTGTAGTTTGTGGACGGCGATACAGACGGACAGTTTCTTATCAGCTGTCAGTACTGGTGGCAGAGCACTTATGGTTTATAAACGTGTGCATACTAAATAAATTAGCTAGCAAGTAAAGATGCCTTTTAAGACAGCGGCACACTGGCATGTGATGCCAGATGCATACTGTCATAGACTCATCGCATTCATTTTGACAATGGCATGGGTGCCGATCACTGAGAAGCAATGGCAAACTACTGAATGTAAAATTGTCTAATAAAACCAAAAAACCACAAATAAATGCTGGAGTATGTCTGCAGACTAACTTTAATTGACTACAGACAGTTAAACAGATCTTCAACATAATGTAGATGTGATTTATACACACTAACACACCAAATCAGAATTACATAGCAAAAATATATATATATAAATAATATGAGAATTGCACCCAAAAAACAAACAATATGCCTCGTGGTATGAAAATGAGTCTTGACATTAGACCTTTACCATGAAGAAAGAAATACAATACAACATACAAGTCAATGGGGGGAAAAACTGTCAACAGGTGATTCATTTCAACCATAATCCAACGGTAGATGTCTTGTAGAGATTGAAAGTAGACACACTATAGTAACCAGCTGTAGGACATAAAAACAACACACTAACAAGGCAGTGAGGAAAAACAAGTGCTGTACAGACTGCGTGTACTGCGTTATGAATGTTTGATCTAGACAAGAAACTGTGGCAGGAAACTGGGCAGAGCGTCCCATGACCATCAGCAGTGGGTAATGTGGTCAGCATTACGCCGATTTCTGAAAAAGATCAAAAGAAGATAACTGAAAAACATATGAAGCTGTCCTTTGAGAAGCAGAGAGAAATCACTAATTGAACAGAGAAATTGTAAGTAGACTGTTAATATTTGTGTGCATACCTGCCCATATCATTATTGGTAAGTTCTGGCTTACAAACAAACGACTGACCATCATCTCCACTGTAGTAATGGCTGTTTTAATTAAACTTTTTTGATCTTCTGGGCATATTTATAAAGAAAAAAAAACTGCTTGAAAACTAAATGATAAATGACAAGCTTGATGAGAAAGACTGAAAAGAACAATATACATATATAAATATATACACCAAGAGGTTTTGAAAGAGGCGGGAGCCCAAAGACAACTTATCACAGACATCAGAAGGAGACAGTCATCCTTTTTCGGCCATGTTATGAGAAGAGGGAAAATAGAACATGTGACCACTGGAAAGATCTGTGGAAGGAGGGATAGAGGAAGACAATGAGAGAAGATTCTTGACAGTCTTGCTGCATGGCATAGAGGTGTTTCGGCACACGAACTGATACATGCTGCAGGAGATCGCAGATTGTGGAGAGGCATGATCGCCCACGCCAGTCGGCAAGGCACCTGATGATGATGATATATATATATATATATAATATATATAAATATACATACACACACACACACACACACACACCCCCCCCCCCCCACACCCCCCACAGAGAGAGAGACAGAGAGAGAGAGAGAAAAACAAATGAACTTTATTTTCAAAGGGAAACAAATTGGGCACGCAGGCCTGTCTTACATTCTGCCCTTCAAAACACCAGTCTTTCACACTGCAGCTGTATTTTATCAATAAGCATGTTATATTCATATGATAATATGCATATTATGAACATCAAGAAAAAAAAATACACACAAAGCATGGGTGGTAAAATGCATGCACACACTAGCGCACGCACACTCACACGCCTACCCACTCACTTAAACACACATATATACACACCCAAATACACCCGCATACCTTCACACATACATAAATACACCCCCGTTCACCCATATACATACCTACCTACCCACACAAACACGCACATTCCACACACATACATACAGATACACAAGCACAGACACACCCACAGAAACAAACGCAGACACACACACACACAAACAGATATATGCGCACAGACCTAAACACACTCATAGAAACACACATGCCACACTAACACGCAGACACAAACACGCAGACTCACACACGCGAACAAATACACACACATAGATGCACAAACACACACAGATACACTCACACAGATACACTTGTAGATACACAAATAAACACACAATGGCAGACATACACTCACACACACACTGATGCTAACACAGACCTATATACACACTTTCACACAACCACACACACAGATGCATTCTCAGACATACATACACACAGATACACGCAGACACACACCCACAGACACACAATCGCAGACATACATACACACAGGCACACACATGCAGACACACCCAGAGACAATACATACAGAAACACACACATACACACACACAGACATACAAAGATATATACATACAGAGACGCATGTATACACAGGCATTCAAGCAGATACACACACAGGCACATACAAACACACACATACAAAACAAAGACACACACTCAGGCTCACACACAGCCACAAACATGTAGAACACACAGAGACGCAAACACATTCACAGACACATGCAGACACATACACACAGATAGAGAGGGGGAGTGAGAGAGAGATCTCAATAGTGTAACCAAATGGCATAATTAGATTAAGAACACCGACTGGTGAAATACGTTTTTTCTTCTTCATCATTAAAACCGCAGTTGGAACATTGTGTTGTGGTTTATTTTTGCAAATAAGCTTTTCTGCCCAATATATCTGATTTCAACAAAACCTTAATAAGTCACATTTTATTCACCCCCCCCCCCCCCCCCCCCCCCCTCACCTCCCCAAATGGACCACAAAACTTCCACAGAAAAGGTTATGAGATTGTGAACTAAGTCTTCCCATGCTCACTCACTTGGCATGTTTAGCAATGATGAATACATTTTGTTACTTACTTTTACTTTCTCCTGCTGATAAGGAACTTTTGTTCAATTTTAAGGAAGCAATGAAAGCTTCTTTTCTGGCAGAATACTCTGTGGATTCTCTAATACTGTCACGTGTTCTTTCTTCTGTGTGTTCTGTATTTGTGACTTTTCCCACATGTGCATGTTTTGGTGAATGTGCTTCACTTAAAGATTCCTCTAGGTGTTTGTGTTTTAGTGATTGCTTTTTGGAAGGGGTTGAATCAGCACTACTCTTGTTTGTGGTTTTAACAGGAGGCTCTTTTTGATCTCTGCGAAGTGTCTGCAGAATTCTTTCCTTGGCCCTCTTTAAAAGGTTTTTCTTTTTGTGTTTCACAGACCCAAGGGCTTGCTCATCATCTGTATCAATGGATGAATCAGAGCCACGAAGGTGTTGATTCTTCCCTTTTTTTTGAGAATTTTTATCTTTCAGAAAAAGTAAATCCTTCTGTGAAAGTTTCTCATCCAAAGATTTACTATGCCTGTATGGCTGAATTTTTATTCTCACTAATGCATTTTCTGACACACTCAGATTAGTAACTACTGTCTCTGAATTAGGATCTGTTTTGTTTCTTCGAACTTTACGGGGCACCTGAAGATTTTTGTCCAAGTCTTTTTCCAGAAGTTCTTCCAGAATCTTTACAGCATCATTGTAGATTTCCAGACCTGATGGCTTCTGCACACTCTGTCTGCGTTGATGCTGAGACATTCTGTTGCTGACTCTCTGAAGAGAAAACAAGTTTAACTTTAGGCAATGTTTGACCAGCATCTGGGGCATTTTTCTAGGACCCATACTTCTGTAACAGTAAACAGGTGTGAGGCCAGGCAAGTGCATTATGCAGGAAGTCAAAGAAGAATAAACCAATACAGAACTGGTGTCAACAGCTGCTACATCATAAGGGATATATTAGAGAGAGTATCTGGGCACTTATACACCGAATCAATCTCTGCTAAGAAATATAAAGATCTGAGCAAGCGGGATACGAATAATACAGGTACTGAGATGGACCTATGAGAGCAGGACAACAGGGATCACCTTACATATAGAAAAAAAAAAATCAGTAAGTATTCTAGATACTTAAATTTCTGCACATGTCCTAAAATCATGCCTTTGACTTGTATTATACATTTAGGCACTATTCTTTGGTTTGATGTTACAATTACTTCAGTCTTTTTTCTACATTTCTCCTACATTTTAAAGTGCCTTTGGGGGGAGGGGCAGGGTAACAAATACAGATTTTAATACATTGTTATAGATGTGGGTGGGGGTCAGAGCAATAAGAATGGATTTTAATGTTTTTATGGATATACCCGCTATTGTAAATGTTATTTTAAAATTGTGTTTTTATCTCAAATGTAAACTCTCACAAGGCTTGAATGTCTTCCAACCTGATATTGCTTTATCCTGGTGCCATTCCTTTCTTCATGTAATGTAATGCACTTTTAACTCCTGCAGCCAGTATTGGTAGACCAATGTTATTGTGCAAATCTACTGCGGGTCTATATTATTTCTATGAAGATTATCATCATACAGCTGCCCTTTGTATTTTGTGCATAATTAATGTATATCACCAATTATCTACTGTTATCACAGCTATAGGCTAAATGTATTCCTAGTAAATGATGTAAGTTGTCTGTACCGACGGTTACCCTATAGACCATGCTATTATTAATGCCCTCTGAGAAATGGAAAGGGTGGAGGACTTTGGGGGCAGTGAATCCACATCACTCCCCAGAATGATAGACCTGGGAGTTAAGACCTTTACAGGGGGAAAAACGAGACGCACAACAGAGGACTTGTTAATCAACATAGAACTGGTACTAATTAGCTATTATATTAGCCCCCGGACGTTGGGGTTCATACTGAGGGGAGGATCTGAGCACCTATGGACATGTCCAGAGTGCAATGATGATAGCCCAAATAACTTACTAACTAATAAGTTGTCTGTTGTGACTACTAGACTACATTTACTGTCGTCTGTCATCTTCTCTTTGGACTTAAACAGAGCGACAGAACTGGGTGGATCCACAACCAGGACCTGGATAGTATGCTTTGTTTTACGTTAATTTATAATCAGCTGCTGAACAGATGTTCGTATCTGAATTCTCAAACCAGTTACTATTGAGTATCTTCCCTTGTCGCACTTATTATTTACAAACCTTTAGGTTTTATCGCAGTGTTGACATTACCTAAAGATATGTCCCGGAGTTTTACAAGAGAAATAACGTTCCCACAGACGACGCATCCTACACTACAACACTCAACAGATGCTCCTACAAAAATCTGCCATAGGCCCATAGCCATAAGACACTACTACATCTCTCCTGCCATATAGGCTGCTGTAGGCCAAATACAGTATGAACTGGCTAAGCTTAAATAACAGACAGCGAATAGTAAACAAAAAACAAAACAAAAAAACTCTTATGTTTTTCAAATTTTAGTTATAAGAATAAACTCCTTTATAGTAATTTGTTATTCATTTAACTAAATACTAAATAGTTTTCTCGGCAGTTTTACAGAGTACCTGGTAGGCGAAAGGACAAAATGTCGACCTCCACATTTATGCGTGGACCTCATCTGTTGTAAGTAAGCTTTTATTGGTCACGTTCGCACATAGCGTTTAAATCCATCATGCATTTTTACTAGTGAGTTCATTTAATTGAGATAAACATAAGTATTTTAGCAAACTACTGTCTCTTATATTTTATATTCTCAGTGCACTCAACGATTTTCATGTATGAAATGAATGCTCATGATGAAAGTTTGTTGTTGTTGCTGCAGCTGATTCAGATTACCTGCTTTTAGCAGATTTGTTATAAATAAATCCCCTGGAAGAATGAGCTTTAGTTTTATTTAACTCACAACTCCCAAGCTGAATGTACCGGCGTTCATATAGTCTGAGCCTCGAAAAAAGCTTGCATCTGTCGAAGTGAGGATGCTTGTATATGATGATATCCCCCAACATTCCGGTGTATTAGTACTATTAGCCCTCAAAATGTTAAAACTAAGCTTGACTCTTGAGACTCAATGGAAAGGTGAGACAGATATATAATCAGACAGTTACTGGTACCGTCAGAATTTTAACTCTTCGCTTGCTGCTGAAGATGGGCACGGAGCGCTTATGGGGGTGTCGCAAGTGCTGTGATGTTGATTCTTAATTCAACATGCTAAAGTATTTAAATAATATCTAATTTTGTTGAAACAAAGGGGAGTAAAGTGCAGTATTTAATATTAATACAGTTGAACGGTGTTCAAGCAAGTTAGCTTCGTTATTGCATTTCATAAAATGTTGTATATAACCTATTCTGCTGTTGGCATGAGACACATGGACAAAAACCAACAGACAGTATCAACATGGTTTACAAGAAAAATGCAAAGAATAAAAGGACAGTTAGAGTTAGACAGTCTTCTAAGAAACAGATGAAAACCATGAACTGATTATAGACATTAATCATAGGCAGTCAGTTCTTTTTTCATTCCACATCAGCCATGCTAAATATTCAATCTTGTCTTAGTCACAAACAGGATGGTGTATCTAAGGTTGGAGAAGCAAGTAAACCTGACCCCTCAACTGCGGATTCTCTAGATCCTACTAATTAGTGTGCTGCTGGTCCAGCCGTGTTTGGTTGTGATGGCTCTGCTGCTGGAGTCAGGGATCCAGGACCTCCTTCAAAACAACCAGCTCTCACATTTGCTTCCAGTCCTAAACAGCAGCAGTACACATCCAGTGTCCAGTCTTGGATAAGCAGACCTAGAGTATTTGATGATCACCAGTAGTACATATAAACTTTTCACACAGGAAAAAAAGGAGTCAAGCAGAGTAACAGCCCCAAGCCAGACCCAGGTCTAAGACACCTTGAGCCCCCAGCCACAGCTCTCTAGGAAATTTGTTGCCATTGAACCCTCACCCCCTCCCCTCGGTGTCGCCATCTCTGCTGTATTGTATTGTAAATTTAAACATATACGTACGGTGGATGTAGCTGTGCATCTCTTCTTATATCCATCTATAATCATTTGTGTGTGAATTTCGAACAGGCCGCTATGGAAACGTCGAATTCCCAAGTATCCAATATACTTCAAAGGAGATCCCCAACTTCGTGTCTTTCTACCTCAGTTTTGGATGAAAATGCTAAAGTCAGAAGATCCTATTCCAAAGAACCAAGTCCATTTTGAAGTTCACCCACAGTGAGTTGTTGTTGTTGTCTTTTTTTTTTTTTTCAATTATGAAGAAGATACAGAAATTGTGACCGTGTTCAACCAGCTTTTCTTTGTCCTGCAAAGCCACAATTATTTTGTTTTTATGTTCTCTTTTTATATTTGACATTCACTTTGATTCACCCTATGTCTACAGTGTTGTCTTCCTGTGTGAACTGCACCCTGCCTTGTACAATGTAATCTCAATGATTACATGAAAATAACATTTGTGTTTTTCTTTTTTTAACTTCTTTGTCAAGCATACTCTGCTGATGTGTCCATGTGTGACTATACTCCTTACATTTAGTCAAAACATACCTTACCAACATTCTTTGTGTGACTATACTTCTTCAGATTAGTCAGTGCATACTAAGTGGAGTAGGTAGCGCCGTGTATACCATTCCACCAACTACCTCAGTGTCTAGGTTTATGATTGTTTGAGGCCATTCCGTTCTGGGTCTAGCACTAGGTTAAGTCTGCCAACACCAGCAACTGAACCTTCCATCACTGTTCTCTCCAGACCACCATGGCTAAAATACCTCAGCTTCTGGGACTGGATGCTGTTTATGAGCCAGTTCTCCTGGATGTTCGGGTCATGCAGGAGGTCTTTTTTCCCTCTTGGTCCACAGTATTGGGAAAATTTTTCTATAACATTTTAGTTCTAAAGCTCCAGTTTTTTTTTTACAGACTGAATGAGAGTCCATAAGTTGCCACGAAAAAGGTTCATCTCAGAATTATTAAGTCACTTGTCTTTGATTTTTTTTTGTGTGCAGTCACTATTGTTGTTAATTATTGAGCCTAAATATTTCAAATCTGTGACAATTGTAATCTCTTTGTTGTTGATTTTGAAACATGGTTGGCGTGCTGTGGATTTTAGTTTTTTCAGGTTCAGTGATGGATTATGTTCTTCCTTAGTTAGTTAGTTGGGTTATCATCATTGCACTCCGGACATGTCCATAGGTGCTCAGATCCTCCCCTCAGTATGAACCCCAACGTCCAATGGCTAATAGTACCAGTTCTATGTTGATTAACAAGTCTTCTGGCGTGTCTGGTGTGCGTCTCTTTTTTTTTGCTGTGCCGATCTTAATTCCCAAGTCTGCCATTCTGGCGAGTGATGTGGATTCACTGCCACCAAAGTCCTCTATCCTTCCCATTTCTCTGAGGGCATTGATAATATCAGCATGATCCTTGTTCTTCCTTTTGCTTTTTGACAGTCAAAATTAATTTTTCAAAGCCTTTGGAATTGGAAATTGTGTCATCTGAGTTCTGGGATAGATCTGGCTGCAGTCTTGAGTTGATCAAAGCTGTCACAGGCTCCCCTTCACTAATTACATTTCTAATTTTTTCAGCATATACAAGCGAGTCCACTTAAGTTGAATTTCGGTTAAGTCGACATGACCAGCTTAGTCCCGGAAATTTTCTCTACTGTGTGTGCTGTCTGGATAAGTAGAAATCCTGATAAGTGGAAGCATTTTCTTAGGTCCCTGCTACTTCTACTTATCCAGACTAAACTGTATTAAAAATGAATAGAGAGAGAATGCAGTGCTGTGGGCAGTGTAGTTTATAGTTTAAAAGTGCTAATTTTAGGTGTTCTCTGTGTGTCTGATCTATCTGGCAGTACTGATGTATATAGCAGTACCTTGATCTATATAGCAGTACCATGATCTGTATAGCAGTGCCCTGTTCTATATAGCAGTACCATGATCTATATAGCAGTACCCTGATCTATATACCAGTACTGATTTGACATGAGATTTAGAATTTTTGTTTTGGCTGTATACTGCCAGTGTTTATAATGTTGTCCATGAATAATTATCTGTAACACCCTCTGGGTTTTTTTTCCCTTTGCCATTAAATTGACCCTCTCTAATTGGGTTTCATTTGTTTTTGTATTATGTGCCATGGAACATTATCTTCTAATTTTGTTTGTTTGTTTCTGCAGTGTTCTTTTTATGTTGGGTTGTTCTAAAACTTTGTTATTCTGCAAATTTTTTTTAGCTTTTACAGGCTGTGAACTCTGGTGGAAAGTTCTGGTTGTTCATCCACATCTAGGCTTTGGTCCTGTTCCGGAACTTGAGTTTTGCATGCACATTCATTTTGCAGATCTAACTTATTTGTATTTAGACTGTTGGTTCCTTGAATCTGTGGTAGATGAACTTTGACTCCAAAAGTAACATCCCTTATTAGTCGCCTTGTATTGCATGCTAGCAGTTGGGCAGTGAGCCTATTGTTTTTTCCTCCAAAATGGAACCCACACAGGGAACTCTTCAAGACAGAAGATAAATGCGGTAGAAGAAGAAACAGAATTGGAGGAAGAGGAGAAAGTAAAAGACTGTTTTGGGCCTGAAATCAATTATTGCTGCACTGTTGAAGTAGAGGGGATCAACTTCATAACCCAGGTTGATACCGTATAGCTCAATCTCTTCCCACAGAATGGCTAGCTGCCAGCTCTGAACAGCACACAAAGCATGAAGTCTGTAGCCCCAGCAACGATCCCCATGGAGCCTCATAAAAACCATAACAGTGAACAGAAGGGCACGTCCGTGAAACCGGTCTGTGACATTAAAGAGTGTGAGCCACTCTTGCTGTACTGTGTTTGACGTGAAGACTTTACTCTGTTGTGATTTTCTTGGTACATTTATTGTCGATTCATTCTGTGCAGGATGACTGATATTGACATCAAAAACTACCTGGAAAAAATCTACAAAGTGCCAGTTCTGTCAGTGACGACGAAGTTAGTTAAAGGTGAGTTGTGATTGTTTTGTTAACTGTCAGGGGTCATCGGCGGTCTTTGGGGCAAACAATCACACCAGAAACATGAGAACTATTGACTTGATTGCAAGACCAGAGTTGAAATGTTTTGCTGCTGTTATGCTGTGTTATCATATTCTACATCACTGCGCATTTGGCACTTCCAAAGTGCTGAGTCTATTGCAGCGGCCATTGCAAGGTACATATACTGATTGCTCCCATGAGGAGTTGGTTATATTGTCTCATTTCTCAACCTCGAAGGCAGCATAGACTGGCTTTACCAAGCTTTACTCCCAGGTTATGCAATCGTGTTAGTCTTAAAGATTTTTCATTATCCGCCAGCCTAGTCTGTACAGCATTGATAATATCAGCTCTGTCAGTACTTCTCCCCATTTGCGTTAGTGCATTACTTGCCAGTTGGTCGGCTCATTCATTACTTTTTACTCCTGCATGCCCAGGTGTGTAGATCAAGGTGAGGGAGGTTAAGTGTGGCTTCTGAATTCTCTCTACCCATTCAGAGCATAGAAGCATGGAGTCTGATATGAATACTGCATGTGTGCAGTTGCTACACAGTTGCACTTCTCCTATTCCCATTTTTGGGGAATCCATTTGTATGTGACGGACAATTGTTTATTATTCTGTTGGTTTTTGCAATGATAAAGGCTTAGTTCGAAATGAGCGGTTTTATTTGTGCGCATCTTTTCCTTCACTCTGTTGAGTTTTTTAGTCATAGTTTGTGTTATGATTTTGAGCAAGTCCAAGTGAGCCGAGTGTGTCCGAAGTGAAGTCTCATTTATAGTAATAACAGTGTGCGATTACAGAGAATAGGAGGCCTGAAAAACCATAAGTCTGCATCGGTGGGCCCAGAAAGAAATATGTACAACCTAGTTCCCACGAACTTGGTCAACATGAGTGCAATATTTGTCCTAGCAGGGATATATTATTATTAGTTCCCGGTTGGCGAACATTTTGTTTAATATGCACTTGATTTAGACCCTTGGAGTTTGTATTAACGAGATTGATAATGTTCGATAGAAATTAATAACAAGACAAGCAATCTGTTGAATAATTTATGTTTATTGCAGCTAACTACGTATTTGAAAATGGAACATATCTGATTATAACTTGCCATTCTTTCTTCCAGTTTCTCTCAATCCTTTTACATTATTGTCTTTATTGTTTTGTTCTCTGCTGGGGGGAGGGGGGAACTGGTCTCTGAATGTTTTTCAAGAAAACTCTGTTGATTCTTTAGGTCAAAGTAGCTCCATAGTAGATGCGCTTAAGGGTTTGAAGTGTTAGATCCTCATGTTTTACTGAGTCATGTATAATGATCTGGCCAGTTCTTTTACCATTTACCTTGCACTGTGAAGATCATGGGTTTATTTCACTGACACATTATTTAGTTCATGAGTGCAGTTTTTCACAGCAATCTCCAAGGATCAGCACTGGAGCTGCAGAGTTGTGTGCCCTGTTATCAGCAGGCATTTAGCTGTTGCTCTTGGCTTTAAATTCATTCTTGTCAGAACATTCTTGATAATTAGATGCAGTTTTATAAAGTTAGGTCAGTGCTGGAACAGTTGCTGCAGCGTCGTAGTTATTGTAATGGTATTGGGACATCATCATGAGATACGTCCATATGCATGCCTTTTAGCCAGTCACATCCACAGAGAAAGGAAATAGAAAGGAACAGTTCATTGTTATAGTGTGATCAAATCAGCAGTCGGATTGTTGTTTGTATGGTGTCAGAGGCATCCCTGGACGTTTCCACTTATACAGCAGGTAAAGCACACCTGTAGTTAACACAGCTCCGAGGACTAAAGTACCAAAAGCAATTCCAGCAACAGTACCTGAGGAATATTGGCCATGGGACCCTTGTGGTTCAGTCACCTTGTCCATGAGAGCAAGCTCTGTGTTTGCCAGTGTTTTGTTTCTGTAGTCCAATAGGTACATGGATTTGTGAACCATGAATTCCTTGGAATAAGTTGTGTATTGAACACGGAATGTGATTCCATTGGAGATGGCCCTTTCAAGGTCCTCTTTGACTTGACTTATGGGCTTTTGTTTCACGCCATCAACAGGGGCAGCTCCGAGGAGGGTCAGTGTTACTCTGGTAGCATGTTCTTTTGTGTCATTGAAGTAGTCGGGTGCCAGAGCCAGATTGCTGATGTGCAAGAGAGAGACGCTCATCCTCTGGGCAAGGGCACTTCGTAATGAGTTGGAAAACCCCACATAGTTGTGAAGAACATCCTGGCAGTAGTTAGCTTTGATGACCAGCAGCACTGGTCTGGTCTGCTGCTCCTTGAAACAGTGGGACACCTGGAAGTTGTTGGTGTCCAGGTGCAGGGGGCTGTAGTGAAGGATATTGACAATTTTTTGGGATAAATGCCGATCCAACACTTTCTCCAGTTGGAGTCCCCAGGCCAGTTGGTCAGCAGTAATTTTTGTGAAATCTGGCTTTGTTGAGGAAGAGGTGCTGTTTTGTGAATCTTCATCATCGAGATTGATCTCAGACTGAAAGACTTCTTTGAAAATCTTTGGCATGTCGAGTTCAGCTGCCGCGGACCTGTTTTTCATGAACATTCCTATCAAAGATTGGAAAGGATGAAAGCCAAGCATGGGAAGGAAATAGACTTCTATGGATAAACCATTGTATTCCATAGCCCAGACATCAACTAGCATCCTCCTGACTGTAGTCTGTCCCTGCAGAAGTAAAATAAGGATGAAAAGGGTTGGCTTTATGTTACAAGTAATTGATGTGTCATGAGCAGTAGTGGTGCCTATAAGAAAGTATCTGGGTTTAAAGTTGAGAGGATCGATTTCATTGCACCAGGTTTTATCTCATATAGCTCAGTCTCTCCCCACAGAACGGCTAACTGCCTGCCAAGAGCGCCACACAGAGCATGAACTCCTTAGATCCGGTGACGATCCCCGGGGATCTCCTTGAAAATTGCACCCGTGAACTAAACGGCACCAACATGAAATAAACCCACAACCTTTAGAATGTGAGGCAAATAGTTTGACCACTTCGCTAGGGAGAGTGGCAATGGCAATAGTAATTGTGGAAGCTAACTTCTTGGCATACACTGCTGTTGGAGTGTGAAGTGTAAGACTTAACCAGGTCACAGCAAAGCATTCAGACAAATTCACTATTGTATGTTGGATTTGTTTTGGGGTAAAAGAATAGACCCACTGCCTACTAACAAGCATGGTGAAAAAGCAACGCGTTTCTTTCAGCGTTGGAGTCCATCTGCCTGAGAGGAACTTACAGTCTGAGACAAATAAGCCAGGCCTGTAAAACAGAGGTGCACTAAAAAGAGAGGACAGAAGGAAAATAGTCATGACAGAAGTGAAATGTTTACATACTTTGCTAGGCGTAACAAGGAAAGATCGACTTAGGAACGATGATATTAGGAGGAGAGTCTGCACAGAATCAATACTGAACTTAATCGGTTGGCAACAGATCAAATAATTTGGCCATGTAACAAGGTTGGCATCATAGAGAGCAATGTTATACAAATCTAGGTAACGTAGCCAGAGATCGACCACGATGATGGACCGCAGAAATATCAGAGACACTGAAAAGTTCTATATACGAAGCTAACAGAAGGGCCGATTTGATGTATTTCTCTCTGCCATGATGCCGCAGGGCATTCCAGGAGTAGAAGAAAGAAGAAGAAAGGTGATGAAGACTTCTGTGCTGGAGAGGATACAGATCAAGAAAACCTGAAAATTACACAACTAGAAAGACCTTTTTGAGCCCAGTGGACAGAAAAAAATAGTTGGACCTAGGAAAAAATTAGGAACAGATGAAGAGTTTGGAGAGAATACGGAAGAAGCTGCAGAAGACAACAAAGTATAAGGCTTGGCGTTAGTTGGTTAAGAACCTCATGCTGCTTTGCAAGTCTAAAGGCAAAAGAAGAAACAGCCAAATAAAAGGTAATAGAAGCACTTGCTGTACACATGAATCAAACAGTATTTTTATTAGTACTTGCGGCTGTTGATGTCTTCTTACCTGATACATGAACTGGCTGTTGCCACCAGCGACTGCGAGCAGACTCTCTCCATGAGCCATAGTCGTTGCTGACGTAGATGGGCTCATTTTCCTGACTGCGCAGGTCATGTTTATCTGTGAGTTAAATCATTGTTTACATCAGGATATTCACACATGGTTTGTTATCTGTGCAGTTTTCACTGTCTGATTCTATGGCCTAGGCAGTGTGAACACAATTTGTAATTCCTAAATATCTGGTTCGGTTCAGCTGCAGATTATTTGGCAGCAGGCCACTTTGTGTTGATTTTGACAATAGTAATGAAACATTGACTGTTCAGAATGCAGTGGCAAACTACTGGGCATAAAATTATCTAGTGCAATCACAGACAGCCCAAAAATGCTGAGGTTTGTTCTGCAATGTCCTGTAAAGGATATACAGCTAACATTTTAATGCTCACTCGTGTGTGACTTCGAGAATTGGGGACTAATGGTAAACTTTGAGGATTGTGGGACAAGTGGTAAACTTGAAGGATTGTGGACTAGTGGTAAACTTGAAGGATTGGGGACAAGTGGTAAAAGCAACAGGATTATTGTAATCACTAACAGCATGTAGTCTGGTTCATCATCATGTGCCATGTTGATGAGCATAGGTTTTCTTGTTTTGCCATCTCACATGATTACCAGAATCATAGATCAAGTAGGTGGTCATGTTTCGCCCCAGACAATCCATATATTTATCCATTTGCTTTCCCTTGCTGTTTTTTTGTGTGTGTGTGGTCAATTTTGCCAGTCTTCACCAGGTTTTTGAGTCCGTTCCTTCTCATAAAATATCTGAAACCACCAACTGTTTATATCTAGTTTCTGTAATAATTTCATGGTTTTTCTCTGCCTCAGTAAGTACTACTTTGTTTTTCGTATCATTGTGGATTATTCTTTGCATTCTTTTTAAAAACGACATCTCCACTGCAAGTACCATATCTCCCCAAGTATAAGACGATCCAGTGTACTAAGGCTCACCTTGATTTTGGGGCCGGAAATTTTGTTTAAAAAAAAAAAAATATATTAACATAAAGTTATTAAACTCCTGTTTTATTCATCAGAGAATTCAGAAAACTCCTGGTCACTGTCAAAACTGTCATGTGTATGATAGTTCTTTAGTTTGTGTCTGATGATGAATCACTTTCATATTATCCCATCCTCAGTTCCCCATGACTTGATAATGGTCTCAGTATTCACATTTCCCCAGGATCTTTTCACCAAGGTGGAAACCTCTCCTAAAGTTGGTAATTTTTTTTTCTTTTTTTTTTTCCTTCTCATTTTATGTCGCCCCCTCAATCATTTTTCCCACATGAGTCCTTGTTGTCACCGACCTCTGATCGACCTTGCTGGTACGTGGCTCGTGGAACAGGCCTGTGGCAATCTAAATATCCACCACCATTGTATAAGACGCCACTGTTTTTAGACCCTATATATTTTTGTTTAAATAAGTGGGTCTTGTGCTTGGGGAGTATAGTGGGTGTTTTTCTTCTTTTCTATTTATTGTATAGCCTGATTACTCCAAGAAAGAAGAGTTATCTGAGATCCTTACCTGTTCTGTCAAATAGACAATACCATTATTGTAGTCTTTGACCACACTTGCAGAAATGGCCATAAGGATGTCGTTATCAGCCTTGACCTCTTCCTGACGAAACTTGACCGGAATCAACCCTTCGGCCATTACCAAGGTCATGGTTGTCTCTACCAGTTTGTGAGCGTAGTCATAAATCAGATATTCTTCACGTGGGTGCCAGTTGCTTCCTGGTATCATGATCTGAAGATCACAAGGGAAATAATTTATGTTATTGGAACTAACCAGGGGAGTAATAGAACATGCTGATAAAGAAATCTTCTTCATAGCTTTGACCATCTGTAAACTCTAGCAGAAAGTTCTGGTTGTTTGTCCACTCCCGGACTTTGGTATTGTTCCATAACTAGAGTTTTAAGTGCACATCTGTTTTACAGATCAGACTAATTTGTATACAGACTCTTGGTTCCTCACCTCTGATGCAGATGCAACCTGTCTCTGAAGGAAACATCCTTAATTATTTTCCATTTACGACATGCTCCCAAATAAGGCCTTCGAACCCACTTAGGGCGATAATAAAGTAAGAAACTGTAGTGTATTGTCAGTTTCTGACTGGGTAAAAGGCTGGAGTCTGTTGTCGTGAAACAACTATACTTCTTAGGGGAAGCAGTACCATCCTAGGCCTAACCTCGGTCTGAATGGATCATAACCTAGCATGAATCCCAGCCCAGAAAATGAAATAGTAGATAAACTGGTCAAAGAGGGAAAACTGGGAAAACAGGACCTCCCTCTCATTTCACAAAAAGTATATAAGACACTGATCAGAGCAGAGTACAGACATTCCTGGAAGCAAACAAACAGCAGATGTCCAGACAACCTAGTCAACTGAAGGCAGTAGACTACCATTTTTCAACTAAGAACAGACAACTGCCGACTTAACACACGCGTGCACAGAATGAAGATTGCACATCCACCCAGTGTCCCTTCCAAACTGCATTCTAATCACTCCAGCTCTGCTGAGGTCTGGTGATTGACAGTAATTTTACACGTTTATCGTATCTAATAATTTATTAGTGTACAGAAGGCTGTCCGTCTAACAGAAGTACAAATATAATTACTCACTGGCCACTATCGCAAACTAACTGCTATTTAAAGATAGCAAAAAATATTTCCATTATGAACATACAAAACCCGCCTGTATAAGGGTACAGAACCATCTGTCTTATAATCTCTAAGTATTTTACCTTGCCTAAAGTCTACCTCACTTGGTCAGTTTTTCCCTGTGTCCAGTAACTTTATGTTTATTAGTCACGCATTGCTAGTTTGTTTACCACATGGACGCTCCTCAGTAACTATTGTGCTGTTTAACCCTGCAACACTCATTATTTTACATTATATTTATGCGCACCCACAAACACATGGACTGCTGTTCCATGGCAGTCATATACACATGGACACCTTTACCTCCATGGACATCTCCAGTTGGTCTGGTACAGGAGGAAGGGGCTTGTTGTCACTTCTGCCAGTGCACACAATTCCAGCAGGTATCTGGAACACCTCTTCATTGACAATGGGCCCAGCCCGGAAAGATGTAAACTCATAGACATTCTCAAAGATGTACCTGTATGGGGGGGGGGGGGGGAGTTAGTGGGAGGGAAGATTATGGGTGAAACAACTTTTTTTCTTTTTCTCTTACTTTGCTGTTACTATAAATTGACATTTAACCACCTGCACCAGGATCACATTACATTGCACACATCATGGCACATGATGATAATGTTAAATACTAAAAATGTCATCACAGATTTCCCTGAAGTTGTCTCAGTAGTACAACATGGTTGATTACTTAGCAAAGTATTTTGTTTATGGCAGTGATGGTTGTTATCGTCCTTCAGTGTTCGCCCTTAAAAGGGCAATTGGCACATTGTGTTGTGGTTTACAACAAGGCTGTGATATTTGTACCTTCCAACCCAGCACATCCAGTTTCAGCAATATGCTGAATAGTTGCCATCTTTAATGACATGCTTGTTAAAGAATGGTGAACCCACACAGGGAGATGGCAGTTCTGAATGTGATGCTTTTGCTTGGTAAAGAACAAGTTTGAATGAAAAGAACAGTAGTGACCCAGTGTGTTTGTGTGAGTACTCACATCTTGCCAGGGATGCCAGCTGATCCATTGAGAACTGCACGTACAGGGATCTCAGACATGCCTGTGGCTGTGGTGAAGTTAGGGTCAGAGAAGTAGTAGTCCATCTGGAACTTGGCCCCAAACTGGCTCCAGTTCTGCTAGAAGACAGCAGCCATTAGTCTGTGGTCATGTATTGCTGGTGTAATTTGTAACAGTCAAGGTCAGAATTGTGAGACCATGCATCTTTCCTGTAGCAACACACAAGTATGAGTCATGGACTATCTTTTGGTCATTTGGTAAGAAAGTAGGGCTTTTGAGTTGAAATGCTACAGAAAGATTCTTAGAATACCAAGGACCAAGGAGAAGATGAATATTGACATCCTAAAAGATCTGAACATCAAGGTTACCTGGCTGGTAAATGGCATTTTAACTCAGACAGTGACATACTTTAGCTATAGCATACACCAAAGGGGATTGGAAAGAAATTGAGTTAAGGCCTTGGATAGATGGTAAGAGGGGTAGGGCCGACAAGCGTGAAGTTGGGCGCATGACATGCAACACTTGGGGCATTCTTCAGGAGATAGGAAAGCCTGCAGAGGCCTACCAGAAGGAAGATGGGTGCAGCATTTAGGCAACACCAGGAGCATGTATGTAAATAAATGAGACAAGAGAGCTGGCGGGGGACAAAGTTCTTTCAGGCATGCTGTGATGGCAGCACAGTTTTGTAAAAGTGCTTGCTACATGATGAAAATGATATTTTGCAACATTAGCTGGTGGCACATTATTTATTCAGGTGCTCAGGCAGTTAGGAGTCATGATATACTGGCTAGTACTCTTGCCTGCTTACTTGGAGGTTGTTTGTTTAAACCTCCCATTGAAGTGGAGATCATATTTAAATTGGCCTTGCTGTATAGGAAGCTAAGGTGGATGTTGCAATATTGTGGTCTGTATCAAAAATGTTACTAGCACTATATAATACATTTCAAAAAGAAAAAAGTCCTTGCTTGACTTTGCTTATTTAACCAGTCACATGTTGAAGCCATGGCATGGTGTGGATACTGCTATGTATTAAGAACCTTCTTCTTGTCCCATTGTTGAATTAAGAATCACTTGGGACATTCCCATAAGCACTCTGTCCCCATCTGCAGCAGCACATACAGAGTTCCAGCTCTGATAGCACTAGTAACAAACAGTCTATTTGTATCTCCGGTTTGAGTGTCGGCCAGCTCTGTCCACTCCTTGTTCCTTCTTCTTTCATTTGCTTGTAATAGATGATCAGTATCTGCAATGTTGTCTCTAGTGTGAACTTTCTTCTTTATTCTTTCTCTTTTATTCACTCAGCATAAGGGGTGTGAATCTAGATATCTATATGTATTTGTGTGTGTATATATATATTATATATATATCTATTATATATATATATATATTATATATAGATAGGATGATGTATATATATATGTATTATATATATGTATATGTTTAATATATGTATAGATAGATGAATACATATATATCCATTATACACATTATTATATACATATATATTATAATATATATATACATATATATCTATCTATATACATATATATAATATATGTTAGATTTTAATTTTTTTTTAATTTTTTATTTATGTTTTTTTTTTTTTTATATTTTAATTTAAAATTTTAAAATTTTTTGTGATCCCACGCACTATCTCCTTGCCCACATAGCTCATGTTATATTTGGATCCGAACCGGAACACGTCGTTGACGGGTGTCATGATTGGCCTGTTTTGACTGTTTTTGCTGACGAAGCCCATGTAGTCAATGCTTGATGGCCTTGTCTCACAGGTGCCATTAGGGTAGATGTCATATCTGTATGAGGGAAACATGCACACATGAAGATTTTGTTTGAGGTTGCTATATTATTGCTATCGTGAAAAAATATAAGTTCAGGCTACAAGGAGAGCTGGTCAGTTTCACAAAACCACAATCACTTCATCAGCATTTGACACAGTCAGTGATGTAGTTACAAACAAGAATAAACCCACTGCAAGGAACTAGCAATCTGCATACGAATAAGCCAGGTTTGTAAAACAGATGCGCATGCAGCACTCAAATTCTGGAACAGTACAAAATTCCAGAATTGGCTAAACAGTCTTAAGTTTTCGCATGAATGCAAAGATCTGTTACACTGGGATCTGTCACAAAATCTCCATAACCCCCTTGGACAGTTGCTCTTTGCCATGTAGGAGTAAGACACTGAACAGGAAATGATCCAGGGAGGAAAGACTGGTAGGCAAGTGGTTGGCTTGGACAGGGGATTTTGTTTTCTCCAAATAAAACTTGGAAATTAATGCCTCTAAATGAGAGAGACCCCAGTGAGCGGATAAGATGATTCTCAGCATGCTTGCAGACTTTTTCATTTGAATAGCTAGACTTCATGGCCATGACCTCCATGTCAGAAACACCCCATTGGTTCTTAGAATTAAAATGTATATTATTATTGTGAGCTAGAATTTCTGGACTTGAAGTTTCCACTGTATCTAGGACCTGCACTTTCTTGACTTGTCAACAACTCCAGTCAGTATATATAGTTCTTTAACAACACAACAAAAATGATTCACCTGGGGAGGGAGGGGGCCTAAATTATTGCAGAGATCATGCAAAGAGGACTACAGACTAGAGTAGATGCCGTGGCGTGAGCTGTGTGAGGTCTCTGTTCTGTTTGGAGTCTAAATGACAAGTAGCTAAGTAAGGTACTGATCTCTGGATTCACACCATCTTACTCAGGTGGGAGATTTGTGGCAGTTCCTAAGGGCTGTCCTTCATTCTGAGGGTGTAATGAGATGCCTTCCTTTCCTGTCTATACACACCACACCAAAAACTGGCTCGGATTCATTTAACGCAGTCAACACACTGCCTCCTAGATGAAACTGCACAGCTTTCTTGTCATGAATGACTTGTCATTTCTCCAATGTGTTGTGAGTAGCTGCTGGGTGGAAGCGCCGAAGCACGGCAGTTCGCAAGAATCAAATAATTTGTGTGTGTATTTTTGCACTCGCTGACAGTAACTGTCGTCGGTGGTTGGATGTACTTAAAATATTCAAAACAAGCAACACCTGACATCTCTAGACCGTAGCGCAGCCCATGGGAATGGCCACGAAATCTCTCGCCTGATCGAGATGCGGTGAATTACGGGATTAGTACCATAAATAATGTCTGAATTCACACCAAGGACAGACATAGCACTTACCTCTGGCTTGTATTGAAGTTAAATATTGACACCAGCCTTGTCCCGTTACGGGTGATACTGACAGAAGCTCTTTGGTTGATACTGTCATAGTGTTCCTCCACTTCCACAGACTTTTTCCTCCGCAGAATATTCGATTCCACCTGCAGCAAAAGGTGGCAATAGTGTGTACGATAGTTAGACCACAAAGACAGCAGGGCTGTGTTCGTTAGTTACACCACAAAGACAGCAGGGGTGTGTACATTAGTTAGACCACAAAGACAGCAGGGGTGTGTATGTTAGGTAGACCACAAAGACAGCAGGGTGGTGTGTACGTGAGACCACAAAGACAGCAGGGGTGTGTACGTTAGTTACAACACAAAGACAGCAGGGGTGTGTACGTTAGTTTGACCAAAAAGACAGCAGGTGTGTATATGTTAGTTACACCAAATTACAGTACATGGCAATGTGTATATTAGTTATAATAGATGGCAATAGTGTGTGCATTAGTTAGACAAAATTACAATGGACGGCAGTGGTATGTGCATTAGTAAGATAACATTACAATGGACGGCAGTGGTATGTGCGTAGATAACATTACAATAGATGGCAGTGGTAAGTGCGTTAGTTAGATAACATTACAATAGTTGGCAGTGGTATGTGCATTATAGATGAGATCGCAGTAGTGTGTGTGTTAGTTTTTAGATCAAAATTACAATGGATGGTAACAGAATGAGTGTAAAACATGATTACAGTAAAAGAAACTTCTGGTCTGCAAACATTGAGAGAGACCTTCTAATGGATACGTCCCCACTAAATCCTCCTGTCTTTATGTAGTAGAAGTAAAGTCTGTACTGAACATGTTGAAACAACACTCACCTTCATACTGTACTGCTGGGGGAGAGTTGGAATCGGTGGGGCGGGATCTGGCTCTGTGGCAATGGCGTGGCTAGATTCACACAGAGATGATGGTGACATCCAGGTAAAAGCTTGCGATTGTACAAACAGGCACATGGAAAGCACAGATAAGACTGGTGCAAGCTGATTCCATTCCATTTTGTCTTAAGATAGGATGAGGTTGTCTCCACTTGTCTCTGTTGTTTGACTAGAAACATAAACAGTGTAAATGACATGTATGAATAAACAGTTTCCATGATAAAGGTAAATGTTGCCGAGGGATAATAATGATTGTTGTCAAGGAAGGAAACACATGAAATGCAGAAACAAGAATTGGAAATGTGAATTCTAGTGTGCAGAAAGCCTCCTTGTGTTAGGGTTTTGCTAAATGCAGTATGTATTGAGATCGCAGATTATGGAGAGGCATGATCGCCCACGCCAGTCGGCAAGGCACCTGATGATGATGATGAGTATGTATTGGGCCGACAGTTGCAGATATCAATGCCAAAGTCTAGCTGTAAACCACAACATAGCGTGTCAAACATCCTCTGAAGTGCATATGCAGACCAAGAAGCAGTGTGCGGGGAAAACGCACAACCCGCAGATAATAAAGTTAGATCGTAAAGCTATAGAATGAGTAGATATCACATAATTTAATGTTTATGGAATACAGTATTTAGTTAACCTAACACAGTCTAATTGTGATCATTGCAAGTTGTAGTTTTATTTTTATTCTGCTGCCCTATGTCAGTCTGTTATTGTTCTGATAACGTCTGCATAAGAAGTCTGGCAGATGTGCATGTACACAGGCAAACCTTGTTAGTGACGAAAAAGCCAAAGTCACTCTCTCTGACTGCTGTGAAATTCCTTTTATATGGCCAGTTAATTACAGATTTGCATTAGCAACCGCTGAGGCGTTACAATGGTTATAATAGGGAGGTGGGCCAGGGATGATTTTACCTTGCTAATTTGGAACGGGTTGCGGTTGTCTCCGTTTGTTTAAACCTGCCATACAACATTGTTACAGATAAGGGTCTAGTAACTGGTGCAGTGGTTTTCCACTCCTGCCTCTTGGGGTCTGTATCCGTTGTTTAAACCTGCCATACAACATTGTTACAGATAAGGATCTAGTGGCTGGCGCAGTGGTTTTCCACTCCTGCCTCTTGGGGTCTGTATCCGTTGTTTAAACCTGCCATACAACATTGTTACAGATAAGGGTCTAGTAACTGGTGCAATGGTTTTCCACTCTTGCTCCTTAGGGTCTGTATCCCTTTGTTTAAACCTGCCAGACAACATTGTTACAGATAAGGGTCTAGTGACTGGCACAGTGGTTTCCCACTCCTGCCTCTTATGTCTGTATCCGTTGTTTAAACCTGCCATACAACATTGTTACAGATAAGGATCTAGTGACTGGCACAGTAGTTTCCCACTCCTGCCTCTTTGGGTCTGTATCCCGTTGTTTAAACCTGCCATACAACACATTGTTACAGATAAGGATCTAGTGACTGGTATAGTGGTTTCCAACTTTAGCCTTTTGGGGTCTGCAGCTGGAATCTTTTCTGCAACTCTCATACCACTGTCTGAAACAATGAGAGGATCGTTTTCTTAACTACTCAGTGTGGGACTCGAATCCTAATAAATGTTAAAGATTGCATTGTTCACTGATTTCACGAACCTCAAAACATCAGTGCCATAGCCAATGATTCATTGATTGCAGGTTAGCTGTGTATCCTTTACAGGACGTTGCAGAACCAATCCCAACAGCCCATGGCTGTTGTGTGGTTTTTCTGGGCAAATTTACATCCAGTAGTTTGCCATTGTTTTCTGGACGGTCAGTTTTCTTGATACCACCGTCGAAACCAACGCAAGGCGCATGACCCGCAGCTGGGATCGAACCCGGCATCCTAGCATTACGAAGGATTCATTGATTACAGAAATCAAATTTAAGTCTCCATCTGTTGTGGCTCAGTCTGGCAAAATGGAAAAGAAAGCGCACATTTCTAATATGGTTAATATCACAATCATTGTCTGTGCAGAAATAGAGATAGTCTGGTTTGCTGACTCTAAAACATGCAACATATAAGTTTTTTTTAAAAACATAGTTTTCCAGTAGCACATTTTTGTTTGTTTGTAAATAAAATAGCGTTATCAGGTATGTGAAAAGCAGACTCAAATATTGTCTATTTTGACCAGCGGACATGTGGGCGCGAATTGCATGGGTTTTTGTCATTGTTACAGTGCAGTGGTCAGTTGCGTTTAAGACCATATTTGTGAGCATAGCTCATGATGCACGCACGAGAAAGCAACACAATTTTGGGTGAACACTATTCACTGCAATTGAAACCCTATAAAAGGATAACGCTACACCAAAATGCTCAGTTTATTTTCAAGCAGTTACAGGTGGTGCCTCTGTTTGATAAATTTGAGGAATCTTGCTACTGGCTGATTGCAGTCAGGTTACCAGGTATCTAAATGTGCATCAAAGTACCATTAGTCGACTTTGGCACTGGTTCAGTTAAAGACTGCCATTACAGTCAATCATCCAGAGTGATAACGGAGAAGAATTGCTTTATTAGGCTTTGTTAGCTCAGAGAAGGCTTACAACAGCTTCCCCAACTGCGCTGGCATTGCCTCCAGGACGTTATTTGATCAAACTGTTCGGAACAGACAACATGACATTGGACTCTGGACATGATGACCACACTGATGACCTGTCCTTACGCGACACCACTGCCAGTATCAACTTTTTTTGGCCAACCAACATCGTCGCTGGGTAGGTGACAATCAGTGGAGACGTGTCTGGTTCGGGGACAACTCTTTCATTTTGTTGCAGCGTCATAATAGACGGCGTAGGGTCTACCGTAGGCGAAATTAAAGTTTAAGCCAAAATTCTGTTGGCTTCTAAAGCTTTGCTCCCCCTTCTCCGACTACTACTCTCTCCGTCTCCGAAGGATTTAAAATTCATCACATAATGATTTCTTTTAATTTTTTTAATTGACCTTGGCATCCGTGTCCACCCAGACTAAAATGGGTAGCATGAATTCTGAAGAGAAGTGAATGTGGCCAGTGTAATATTTACCACATAATTTATTATCTCATACAGCTTCATGCAGATTTCTGAGGTCAACAATGTTTACCTGCAACCCGTGCTGGGAATGTGCCAACGAAAAAATTGGATCATCAAAAAACAAAACCAAGATGCAAATGTGACTGTCGTTGGAGCTACGTAGTTCGTTCTTTGTGCGACTTCTTAAATGAAAACACTTGCATATTCTAATGCACCGATGTATCGGAATTTGAAAGCAATCGGTGGAGAACTGTCAGCATACAGCTTCTTGCAGATTTCTGAGGTCAACGGTCAAAGTTAGCCTAGCATTAGCCTTCCCCAGATCTTATCCCTATGCGACCATCCTCCATGCGAGTGACATGTCCTGGCTAGTTCAGGCAGCTTGGCTTCAATAGATAGTGTATTGTTGGCACTCCTGCTCTTCTGAGTACACATTAGTTGAGGACAAATTCTCTCCCCATGATATATCAAGAATGCATCTCACTCTATACAGTGATTGAAGACTTACAATTTCTCCAACAAAATCTAAGATACAAGTCTTCATTACCTCCTTACCAATAGTAAATGGTTTTTTTTTTTTCATTTTAGCTATTCAGAGAGCACCTAAATAAGAAGCTCAAAGCAGCAATAAGCCACTAGTCATCATACTTAGTAGTTGCACCTATTTGTCCTGAACCAATTGTTCACGTACAGCATCTACTCACTATGCAGCACCGTAGTGCCAGGATCATGCTACTGATACATGATTAACAGCAATTTCTGTTGAACCACCAGAATATTTATGTGAGCTACCAGTGGGTTGCATATCACGAATTGAAGAACACTGCACTAGAGCAACCTCTTGATGAACCTGGTAGGGTGGGTGTATTATGTTTGTCTCAAAAGAAAATTATGCTTCAGGCAATTCTCACAGTGGCCAACATGAGAAGGGTTGACAGGCCAGTGTCACTGTTGTTTGAATACAGACATTCATTTTACCTGATAATTTCTTTGACTCTTTGTTCTGTGGCTTTGTGGTGGTTTAACCCATACATTGAATTTATGTTTTGTCATGTTAACAATATTACATCTGTTAGTGTAAATCATTATCTTATCTTCTTCTTTTACCACTTCAGTAGTTGTTCTTCTTATCTTCTTTTACTGGGAGCTGTATGTTTGAATGCTTGTGCATGAGATTTAAAATTGAGATACGCACCAGTATCAGTGCAGTCTAAAATAGCTGCCAGTGTTCTGGTAGGTTAAGGAGACTGCATGCTACTGACCATATCTGTTTGCTGCTGACTGATCTGTGAAAATGGTGGGAGGGGGGTGGGGGGGATTGTACCATATTCCTAATATGTTTCAGGAAATATTATTTGCACCTTTACTACAGCTGGTAGTGTCAGTTAGATTCATCACCAGGGCTTGTTGTGTTTGGGTCGATTCCTCAATGATTTTCTCATTGTGGCGGAGTCATCCTGGTGCTACTTGTGTCTTTTAATGTTTAATGTGGGTTGTTAGTGTATATTTCTAATAGAAACATTCTTGTTGATTCCTATGTAACCTGTGTCTGAGATAGGAATTATAAACATTGACTTCACTCCACCTGATTTTATTCCATATGTCTTAGTCTCTCTCTCCCCCTCCCTCCTAAGTGTATGTATGAGAGTATGTATACCTATGGCTGAGTGTGTGTAAGTATGTAGATAAGTAGGTATGCGTTGTGTGCTTTTTATATATGTATATTTGAATGCATACATTTACCATCCATGCTTTTGTGGTTTTTTTTTAACTTCATAGTATATATAGTGTTATATGAATATAACATGCTTTATTGATAAAATATTGTGGTCTGAAAGATGAGGGTTTGGAAGGGTCAGATGGGCTTGCGTGGCCACTTTTTTACCCTTTGAAAATAAGGTTGGTTTGCTCTGTGTGAATATGTGTATGTCTGTCTCACTCTCTCTCCCCCTGTCTGTGTCTGTCTCTCTCTCTCTCTCTCTCTCTCTCTCTCTCTCTCTCTCTGTGCAGAATGGCTGGCTGCCTACTAAAGAGCAGCACGCTGTTACAAACTCTGGTTCCTGGGATGATCCCCATAGATCCCTACAGAACC